GCGTGTGTATATGTTTGTATATATGTGTGTGCCAGGGTTTTAGGGTTAAGAATAAATAGAAAATTCACAGCCAAAATTGTAAATATTCACATACATGTGTATGTATATGTGCATACCCAAATTTCTGTATACCTGTGTTACTTTATCATACAAAGGAGCTTGTCATTTAATGTTTACATTCATTCATGTGTCTGTGTTTCTCTGTATACAAATACACTTGTGTTAATATATTAATATATATACCCATGTAATTTATGCATAAGCATGTCTGGTAATAGATAAGTGTGTATGTTTAGAGGTCCGAATATTTTTCTACATGTACATATTGATGGGCATGAGTAGCACGCGTGTCTGCATTCACTGCCTTATATATTCCTCGTCGCCCAGAATCAGTAATTATTTGTATTCGTAATCGAATTAAGCAATAGTGCACATACACGAGAGAGTTGTTCTCGAAGTAAATGCGACATACGGTTACAAATTCATTGGCCAAAAGGAATACATGGTCTGTGTTAAATTTCGTATACAAAAAATGGGGTATCTTGTATCGGCCATATTGAAATGTACCACAAGGTGTTTATTACATATGGTTTGGCACGGACTATCTGATAATATGAATGAAGTCTCAGGATGTCATTCGAGGCGCGCATGCTGTATTTGCATATGCGTTTCGGTATTTTTTTGGTTGATATTTTGAGTTCTCATTTTTGTATCCCAGACGTTAGACTGGAAGCTGCACCGGTGGCTATGTCCACTCGAATCAGGAGGAAAGAGATCGGCAACAGCCGGAATACTGGTCGAACGACAAGAGGCACGCTCTCTGCCGCGGCACTGCTCTCGGTGTTTATCGAAGAAAGCAACGGTATCCTGTCCTTGCACACAGAGGTCATTTTGCGACGATCAGTGCTTTGTAAGTATCATAATCTGGCTATGCTTGTGTGTGTCTCGCTGTGGACATAAACTGAAGTTTAGTGTTTTTTAGTCTTCGCGTCAGAAATGTGTGGAGCGGCCGTGTAGGTAGCATTTTTTTAAAGATGAGATAAAGGTCAGAATCAACATACTCGCATGTGCAGTTGTTTATGCGTAGTTTGTGTGCAATCCCGCAGCTGGTACGTATAATTTTTTCAGATGAAAGTGAGACTCAGCCAATATTTGCCACGAGAATCACTTGAATCTAATCATATTCATACGTAGTCGACCATTGGATCTCAACCGGAAATGAATTTTTATTGAAATCAGTTAGGTCGATATCAGCATTTATTTGTATCGATGATTAAAGCGCAAGTCATTCTGGCGAAGGGATTTATGATCTTTGCTGCCACGTCGTTCTCGATGATTGTGCGCGTAGTATTGCTGTGAAGGTTCTTTTACATCGAGAATGTCGTCGTGTTGCTTAATTTTCTACATCTCAGAGTGCAATGCATGATGTGACCACCTACCATTTCGAAGCATAGGCGACCGTGTTCCAATGTAGTATGTGGGCGCTGACCTGCTATGCATTCTCATATTTACGCGCGCTTGGTATATCTAGTACTTTAGATTGTGATCATAAATTTTATTCGCTTTCAATTGTATGTCATAGGCGTTGGACTGGAAGAATCACCGTTGGGTGTGTCCCACTGTACCAGAGAAGAATAAGTGGTCAACGCTGAGGACAGTGGTTGAGGAAAAGGAAAGGAAGGTAGCTCCCCGACCTCCGCTCAACAATGGTAGACTGCCTACAAGTCTTGATGACGATCACCGAGCCCCAAGTACGCAGGCGAGCGGCACACCGGACATCCCTATAGTGGAGAAACGCTCTCTTGAGGTGAAGGTGTCGAGTGATCGAGATCACAGCAAGGAGAACGGCACACCGAACATCTCCATAGTAGAGAAGCGCTCTCTTGAGGTGAAAGTGTCGAGTGATCGAGATCACAGCAAGGAGAATCAGCGCGAGAAAGAGAGTCAACCCAATAAAAAACTAAGAGTTGACCGGGAGAGCTCGGGTGAAGGGCCAAGTCGAAGGGGGACCAGAGATATGGACAGGAATAGTAAAGGTAGACAGCGCGAAAGCAGAGAATCTAGTGGGGTGCGAGACTCGGGCAGGCACAAAGAAGATGGAAGGGGTAGGGATAGGGGCAGAAGTGGAAGCGTTTACAGACAATCAGAGAAAGAACGAGAGAGCCGCAAGCATGTGGATAGGCTTAGGGACGAACGCAGGAGCAATGAAAGGGCCCGAGAAGAACGACGGAGCAGAGACAGAGCCCGCGAAGAGCGCAGGAGTAGAGATCAGAAAGTGCTCAGGAGTAGAGACCAGAGGGAGCACAGGAGTAAGGATGGAGGCTGGTCTAAGGATGTGCACAGGGATAAGAACACGGACGCTAATATGGCTAAGGAAGTACATAGTGGCGAGAATGGCAGTAAAAATATTGAATCGCGAGTTACAGGTAAGACGAGAGAGGGACGGGGAAGTAGGGATGAGGGCATACCCAGAGAAAGAAGTAAATTTGGTCATCATAACAAAAATGAGCAAGTCAACGTTACTCAGCATAAGGAGAAAGTTAGCAACCTTAACAAGAAAGTGTCCGGAATAGCAGAAGGTCCAGAGGATGGGCGCTCACATAAAGACAGGACGGTCGACAGTGACGTTGGTAGAGATAACCCATACCACCGATCTACCAAACCTACAGAGGAGCTTGTGTATCCCAAAAAGCCTATACGTGACGACAAAGATGCAACTGAACACCAAACTATTCCTGAGCCTGTCAAGTCAGCTGGTGTGCCTCCCGAGAAGAAGAACTTGCTTAGACAGTGGACTGAAGAATCTATGCCCATACCTAAAAAGGGAGAGACTTTTAAGATTCGCGTACCTAAAAAGGGCAAGGCACGTATTGCACACGTTCTTGAACTTTCGGCGGTCCAAGACGTCGCAGAACATTCACCACTCACAAAAATTCACACAGTGCGTCCAAATCAGAATAATTTGTCAGTGCATGATGATGCAAGTGCTCCCAAGTCCGGCGGAGGCACCGCAAGCAATGCAATGAAGTCGCTGAAAAAGGGATCGGCCCATAGTTTGTTGAGGAAACAGACAAGTGGTACCACGGATGTGTCTGGTTCTGGAGACGCCCGGACGATATTTTCCCGTTCCAGTAATGAATCAGAGAAACCCAGGGTAAACAAGACTAAAATCATGGACGAGCAACGGAGAGGGCTGAAGAAGCTGCGCAAGGAAGTAAAGATTGAGAGCAGGAGGAAAAGAAAGCTATCGAGGGGTATGAAAGAAGTGTCGAAAGCGGATACAGTTTCCCAGAAGAATGTGAAAAAAGATCTGAAGATGGCAAAGATGGATTATATAGATATTCGCCCCAAGTATGTGACATCGGACTCTAGTGATGTCAGTAGTGGTAGTGAGGCCAGCGCTAAATACACGGATGGAAACTCCAGTGCTTCCGAATTGGAGAGCGAAGACGGACATGGTTTTGCTACGGATCCGACGAAGGGTAAGCAACCTGTGTGTACCATCTGTGGCGATCCTGACAATTCGCAAGGTGAAGGAGGCATGGACTATCTGTTTGTGTGTGCGACACCTTCATGCAATAATGCTGGGCATGGTAGTTGCTACGGTTTTACTTCGGTGCTAGTGGACAATTTATTTCAAAGCGATAGGCCGTGGTATTGCAATTATTGCAAGAAATGTACCAAGTGCGGGTCCACCGATGAGGTCAATATGTATTTGTGCGAATACTGCGATTCTGGCACTCACTTGGCCTGCTGCGACCCGCCGCGGAAAAAGAGACCTTCGGAGAACGAGGACTGGTTCTGTAAATTATGTACGTTATACGGGAATGGTGCGGGTATAGGTCTACAGCCTATACCCGGAGAATATCGTCCAAAATTATTTACGTCTGCAAAAACCGGGGCTGTATCGAGCAAACCTACAAGCTCGGGGGAAAGCAGTCATGAAGTAGCAACTACCAACAAGGGCAGCGCCACGAACAAGGTAGCGGTGCAAAAATTATCTGCACAAACGTCTGCGTCAGAAGGAAAGACAACCTCGTCAGCTTTTCCGAAATCCGTTCATCAAAATGCACATTCCGACACTGGGTCAAGTATAGCAAAGGCCGCATCAATCGCTAACAATGGCGGGATGCGCGCGCAACTGGGCTTAACCAATTCGCCTTTCGCAATAGTAAAGCCGAATGCGACAGTACCCCTGGCAGATCCTAGATTGTGAATCAACATACCGCTTTGGTGGTGTAGTAAATCTACACACTCTCCAGGCCTCCACTGTACCGAATGTTGATGGTGTGGTAGGAGCGATAATCGCAGAGAGTATATGAGGCGACCAATCTGAGAGGACCGATCTAGAGGTGTCCAGCTGTCGATTACAAAGAGGGCGTGCATTTTTTTTCTTAAATGATGAACATAAACTTGCCACAGGTTCGCTATGAATCTCTCTCAACACAGTGCCTTCACGAAAAAAACCCCCCACACAAAATTAGGCATACTGCAGGTCTTAATTTATTTATTTATTTCTATCGAATTTCTACTGGCCATTAACAATATTGTCTAAAACCCTTCAGCGATCAAGATACGTAGAGCTCATTTTTCTAATATCACGAAAACCCTAAAACCCTAGGAAAAAATGAGAGGTGAAGTATATAGTCAGAGACTCTCCCAAGTGTCTTAAGGGTAAAAGGAATTGGAAATAGCTTTTGTTATGACCGTAGGCGATAACTATAACCGTAGCGAAGTTCCATGTCACGTAACTTGTGATATACACTCATATTCATATTCATAGATTTAGTTGGCATTTATAAGGGTATATATATATATATGCATTTACATTTTTTTTCTCCATATAATCCCTTTTTAGGGGGGGGGATCGAACGTATAAACTGTTTACCCTTCCCCGTTAGAAACTGTAAACATACTCTATTAGTAACCTAGATTCTTCTATCTATGGGTGTATGATGAGATAGTATGGGAGATGTAGTCAAGTACAAACGACTGTCACCTGTATCTTATAAATTAGTGAGGTAGTCTTAGGGAATTAGTTGAGATTGTATGAAGTCATCCGCTGGTTATCTAAGTTAGTGAATGAGTTATGTAGTCCTATTTCTTTGAGGATAGATGAGTTCACTTTTTATAGATGGATTGAAAGAAGATAGAAGGATTAGGATACTCGATAGGAAGTCCACTAAACTAGTGTATAGTCGGGGTATCCCTGTCTTCCAATAAAATAAAACCAATCTATATACTCGACAGGTTTATCGGATATTTGGGGGCACTGTGTGGGAGGTGTCTACAATTTTAGTACCAAACATTTTTTCCATGAGTGTATAGGCCTTATAATTTATCTTCCTACGGACTAAAATATTCGTAACTAGCCAATAGAGAGGATATGAGTGAAATATAGTTTATGCGATGTGAAGAGTGACCCTCGAGCACGGGGTACTTCTACGGGGTCGTATACTCACATAAAGAATAAAGATAGAGTCCAAGATGAGACGAGATATGGATACTCGGTCTCAGTCGGGGGTAGTATAACGTTAAAGGGTGGCCGAACCCCTCGTCCAGAGGGGACACTGGTCGAGGGAGATGAATAAATAGGGGAGAGGTCTATAGAGCAAGGTATAAATTATATGTGTATTGGGTAATCGTAGCGGTAGAAGAAATGTGTAGTAAATAAGTCTTCTATAGGGAGTACAACTTTACATAAATGAATGAGTTACTGCTCGCGGAGCTTGCAATCCCTCCGACCAAAATAGAATAGAGATTACTAGGAAATAACAATAGGGTGGCGATAATAATGGAAATAAGGTAAGAAATACTCCTAAGAGGACGAGGAAAGAATATATTTAAATGCTTCACTAGGGATGATTAAGAGTAAGGTTCGACTCTAGGGATAGAGAATAAAGGTACCATCCTTCAGAGTAGAGTAGAGTAGACGTGTGGAAAATCTTGTGTAAACTAAACTAATTCTGTGAATTTATTTAATCAGAATATACGATGTACCCAATATCGCGAGAAAAAAAAGTAGAATCTGGTATCCCTCCTGAATGCCAAATCATGTATTCCAACCCACACTTCTAGGCAGTCCAGAAGCACCATCGACCAGGATATATGGGAGCCCAATACGAGGCATAGTGAAGCGAAGACTATAGACGCGTGGTGAAAAAGCGCAAGCAAAGAGAGGTGTGAGCCAGCATAACTTTTTGTTTGAATCGAAAGTGTACATGAAGTGTCTGATCACGCATAACTACATGTCTGACCACGTGGAAGTGTATGTACTTGATCTATACTCACAAGAGAGAGTCTGTCTGCTCATACGAGCCAATACAAGTGATTCAGTTTACAATATCAAAATACAAGATATCACACTCGCACACCTCGCACATTACATAGAAAATGACACCATGGAAGTTGAGACTATCTGTACTAGAAATCGAACATAAATGACGTGTCAACACGAAGTATAATATAGCACAAAATTCAAATATAAAACACCAGGTGTGCAACTAGTAGGTTTGGGGTAAAGGAGACTGTAGTCATTGAGCATTAAAAACCCCAGCACTTGAAGGAAACCTCAAATATTGTGGAAATCCAAGGTAAACCACAATTCTGGGAGTTTCATAACAAACAACATAGTGCTATGGACTATGGTCCGATAAGGCTGTGACTACTGGTACATGATATAATTATTTACTGACGTATTAGTTAACAAATCGAAAAAAGAATTTAAAGATCACCAAAAGTAGTTAATGGTCTACTTTCTATGACTAACTTCTACAAAAGCATATAAAAAAAGACTTGCTAGGAGGGTTGCCATTACTTGACTCCAACAAGGTGAGAACCTATGTTCTACTATGACCCGACGTACACGTCATTCTCAGATTGGAATGATGGACAAATCACCAGTCACGATGGCTAGAACTTCGATTCCAATTATGTGGGAACAAGTTTTTTCCACAAGCAACACAGACGGGTCAAGGCATGAAATTTGGGAAGAAAATTCAAAAGTCATTGCACAGGCTCCAATATCCTATGTCTCGACTCTTTTTATCAACCAAAAGTACAAGGTGCGAACGAACGCTCACACAGAGACTTGATATACTTACTATATAAATTTGCAGACTTACACCATATAACTGGTGTTCACGACTACAGTTTGTGCAGAGGGACCCCATATCATTGATAGTTTACAAAGTGCTTTTGCGTCGCCGCTGCAGATACACCGGGTGGGTATCGACTCATATTGTACAGATTTTACAAGTCCCCATACCATTGATAGTTTATGAAGTGCTTTCGCGTCGCCGCAGCAGGTACACCGGGTCAGTATTGACTCAGAACATAATTCTAATTTACAAGTCTCAAAAAAATAAGTTGGCGGAATCCACGAATCGAACGTGGGGCCTGACCCACCCTAAGGGTCAATCATACCACTAGACCAATTCCGTTTTAGTGTTTTTATATTTAAAAACAAACCAAACTTCACCCATGTATTTGCTGAAGTGTTCTTTCTATCTAGGAGGCTATGGAAAAATAGCTAAATATTTCTTAGAACAAATTCCCATAACCTTTTCCAAGGGTTATCTCAGCAATCGTTTAGTGAGAGTGCATGTAAAATTACACGCACATATACACATATCCTATAGTTTGCTGCACACTGTATGTAGGCATAAAGGACACGAAAGTGTGACACTTTGCTGTGCTGAGTACTGCAAGGGTCAGATCTCTGCTATGTACTAACCCAGCGCATAGTGTCCCACGTGGAAATGAAAAACCCATGACATGGATGGGGTGAATAAAGACATATTGAAGAAAACACCAATACAATCAGAGTTTGAAACAGAATCCAGTACGAGGTATTTCATCTGCGATAAACACATCCGCGAGTTGTCTTTTTAAACAGATTGATACGAACATTAACACTTAGAAAGAACCAATACACAGCCTTGTTGCAAGTGATCAATTAAAGGCAGATGCTGATCGCACGCAACAAGACTCAGAATACAAAATTGCAGGGGTAGTCTATAAGTTGAAGATGCTCTAACTATTTCGGACTGGCATACATAATAGTACCTGTACCTAACGTATCCCGGTTTGTCCTGGTCCTGAGATAGCTCGATGCACACAATCGCTGTAAAGATGCTAAATCGATACTACGCAAAACAATATGAGAAACAATCGTCCAGACTCTCATACCGATTGATAATGGACAGTTCGGTAATAAAAAAACACCCTCATATTCTGGACCAACTTCCAATCACAGCAGAGATATGCTATATAAAAAAATCGACTTTTAAAAAAGACTGAGGTTATTTTCTTCCAGGAGTGCGCACTAAATCATTCGAAAACGCTGTACTGATGTGGTTAATACGGGTTAGACACAACGAGGAGGAAAAGTCGTGGTCCACTTATTTGAGATTGAATGTGAGTATACGGCTGGCAATATTCTTAGAGATGTGAACTTAGCTTCATACTTTCAACATCCGGCAAGATGTGATAACTGGCAAGAGATCTAATGAAGCTGCCACGATCCAATATAGTGGTGGGACTACAACTCCCCTGCTTTACAAAAGATTATCTGGCCCTCGTGATAGCTATAAATGCTATTTTCATTGAAGCGGGTGGTGATATATTCTTATAAGCAACAACATTTGGAAAGTACAATCAGTAGGTGGCGATTTCAGCATCAGGTCATTCTGTATATGTATCGCCACTATTTCCTGGATACCTCAGCGACAAACAACTATCTGAGGCTTTCCGAAAACATCATTTGATATAAAAATTACCACGAGGTTACTCCGTGGTGAGTGACAGGCGGTTCGAGATTCAAAGACTTCTGCCCGAAAGAGTGGCGTTCAATATTCCGCCCCGATTGCCTGCTGCGGGGCAGTTCAGAAAGCGACCATGAAAGTCGCAAGAGTGCGAATATGATTAAATAGAACGAGTAAATCGCCGGGCGAAAACCTTCTTATATTGGCACAGGAAACACATCTTGTAATTCTTCACTTCTTCTGTATCGCAGTTAAGGTTTGTTTTTACCCAAAAGATAGTACAAGTGGAACAGGTTTAGTAGTAACGAACCTAAGCACAAAATATTAAATAAACGTTGTTATTCTGCTTGAGATATTATAAGTGCTGTAGTGAAATGGGTGTAGTAAAGCGAGTGTACGCATAAATATCTAGCAAACAATACTTTTGTTATCCATAAAAAGAACTGTACAGCATCAATTGACTCTAAATACTCTAACCCAAAATCGAGTCTATTCATATTATTCATCCAAAAGAGTAAGTTTAAGGGATAGGTGTAGATGAATAGATTCGAATTCACCCTAACTGTTCTTTTGAGACTCATGTGGGCTTAAGCTGACATGATCCCTATTGGTTGAAGAATCCTCTGATCTGTCAATGGCTATTTTGCGGCCGGTGATTGATGCTCGCCAAACTATTT